CAGGGTGGCTTTTTTTTTTTTTAACCAAAGCTTTCCAACTCTGTGAAAGCAGTGCTTCCTCTCTGGCAAAGAAAAATGACACATGAACTCACTCATTGGTGGCCCAGACCCATAATCCCAGCACTCTGGGCAGCTGAAGCGGGAGGATGGCAGGTTCAAGCTGTGCAACTTGGTGGCACCCTGTCTCGAAAAAAAACGGATGGGGATATAGCCCAGGGGGAAGGCCCCCAGTTCATCCCCTAGTCCTGCAAAATAAAATAAATCTAATAAAATCCCGTACAGATGTACAATTTAAGAGTTCCATTTCAGGGATGCACAAGCTCCCTGGGAAACCCTCACATAAAAAAGCTGGTCATGAATTCTGTGATGAGAAGATAGCCTCTTATCTGTGCAACGTTAATCATTCCAGTAAAGGATGACAAAAGGTCAGACGGCTGGATGTCACGGACACATCAGCAAGGCGTCACTGGGAAGGTGACGTCCAATTCCCTGTCCCAGTGTCTCTGCCACCAACACCAACTTGCGCACAGGCCAGCCCTGTTTCCGGGCTGTTTCCGGGCCTCATGCTACTAGGAGCTGGCCACAGCCCAGCTGAACCGGAGACCAAGCCGACAACCGTCCCTTCTGTGTGGGGTGTTATTTTTCTCACAGCCTCTGAAAGGGCTGCGATCAGGTGATCTGGGGTGGGGGAGGTTGCTCCTGTACAGGTGCAGAACAGGGATGCAGGGCAGGGCAGGGAAGGCCCCCCCCCGTGTGTGTGTGTGTGTGTGTGTGTGTGTGTGTGTGTGTGTGTCTGTGTGTGTCTGTGTGTCTGTGCATGCATGCACGCACACAGGCTTCCCCAATTCTTTCAATAGCCCTCCCCAGACAGTGCCTGGCAAGGCAGCTCCCACATCTCTGGCAGGCAGCAGGGAATCTGAGTGTGAGAAAGTCAGTCAAGCGGAGGAAAAGGAGGAAAAAAGGCTTCACGTCCTCAGGCTAAATACCTTTCCCTTCTGCTCCTGCTCACCCTTTTCTGTAGCTTTAAGCCCAGCCTACAAGTCATCCCCAACAAGGAAGAGACTCACCAGAGATGCAGGTATTTGTCTTATGGTTTAAAAGTAAACAAGTGATACAACTAGACAGAGAAATTACTCTTGGTGGGGCAGGTAGAGGGGCCCTTGGGACAAGGATGGTGAAAAATAATGTATGAACACACTTGCAAGAAAATTTTTATTTGGGCATGAGCCAGGGCCTTGCTATATAGTTCAGGCTGGCCTTGTACTTGTGGTGATCCTCCTGCCTCCACCTCCCAAGTGTTAGGATTACAGGCATATGCCATCACAATTTCTTCCTGAATTTTTTTGGAGAGGCCCCACACAAAACCTTGCTGAGACCTCTGTCCCTCTGTGTGCGTTTATTTGCTCATTCTACCAAGCTAAACACTCATCAAGGGACAACCATTGAGTTGCTGATTAACTGAGTCTGCGAGGCCAGACTCCCACCTGGACCTGCTCTACCCTGCCTATTTCAAGGTGCCAACTTGTGAGGGCCCACGGAGTCAAGAGGACAAGAGCTGTTGGCCTAGGAGGGTCAGGGTGGATGGTACCTTAAGAGACAGCACTCCATGTCCCCCCACTTCCTGGGAAGAGGTGCAGGTCCTGAAGAATTTGGGGGGACCCAGAAAGGGTTAATGAGCTTCCCTGGGAAAGGTTTAGTTCCTTGGAAGAATCTGGGTCAGTGTATTTGTGCAGTTAAAAAAAAAAAAAAAAAAAAAAAAAGACCCGGTATGGAAGCATTTTAAGAAGCTTGTGAAGTTTATTTGGGGCACTGCAGAAAGGAGGGTGACTTTGCCCTTTCCCAAGAGTATTTCAAACACACAGGAAAACCCCATTTTTCTTTAAATGAAACAGACAATTTTCTGTCAGGACCCCATTTCCATCTGATTAAAATAAGAAAACCAAGTCCTACCCCTCTGGCCCAGGTTGCAGGTCAACAAAGGAGACATTGTTCACGGTTTCTTCAGAACCCCCAAGCACAGCCCAGCAGCCCACGCTGCAGTTTGTTAAGAAAACACACACACACAAAAAAAATCCCAGAGTAGCCCAAGGGGCCAGAGTGAGTAAAGTAAGCTGCAAGGCTGAGAGGCCCAGCCGCCACGCCAGAGCTGTCCTGGAAGGTAGAAATGAGGTGTGGAAGGCCAACAGTCACAGTCCTGACAGCCCTCAGTGAGACACCTGGCACAGGGAACAGGAACATCTGTGTTAAAAGATGGGCACATTTCTGTTAGCTCAGGTCACAGCCAATGCCCAGGTGAGCTCAGTCTAAGCAAGTGTCAGTCAACAACTCGGCCTGACCTGCTCACTAGCTTTTCTGTATCCAGATGCTGCAGCCCTTTGCCGGGAGCATCTTTCTTAAATGGGGAATCTGAGGTCCTGTCACCTGCTGTGAGCATTTCAGGGGCCTCCGTGGTCTAAAAGGTCCAAAATCCTTCACTGTTTCTTGTGGGCCCAGTAGTATGTACTATAATTCCTGCTACTGAGGTGGCTGAGGCAGGAAGCTCTCAAATTCCAGGCAATACTGGTTAATAGTGAGACTTGGTCTCAAAATTTTACAAACATTAAAAAGAACTGGGGGAGGGGCTCAATGGTAGTGTTTGTAAGGGCATACATGAGGCCCCGATCTAATCCCCAGAGGGGCCCCCCCAAAAAAAGGAACACGCCTGGAATAAAGACCTCAAGCTCCCAGGATCCTGGCCTTTCAGGCTCCAGGTACTTCCTTTCTTCCCAGGCCAGAGACACAACGTATTTCCAGGGCTCCGTTCCTATTTTTCAAGTTACAAAAAAGCACTGGCCGCCTCCTCTATAAGTTTTCTGAAGGACTCCAACTTCTAACTCACTTTCCCTTTCCTGAACCTCCCTAGCACCTTCTATGTAGCCACCTAACAGTCCCTCAGGAATAAGACCTCCTGAACAGGACACTCTGGAAAACCACAGATGTCACCTGACTCACCAGGACAGGTACCTCCCGGCTGTGGGCTTCCTGGGGACACCTGTGTTATCTACGTCCTGAACCTGCCAGGGAGCCTGGCAACACTGCTGCTTGTACAGGTGCAGTTTCCTATCTCGCTTAGGTCATCCTGATCTGTCGCACTACCATCTAAGCCCCAAGAGGCAGGACAAGCAGAGGATGGCCCCAGGTCCCTGTTGGCGCAGCTGACCACCCGCACCTCCCCAGGAGCGAATCTGGGGTGTAACCGGGTGTCTAACGCTGAGTGCACGCGCTCAGTCCTCAAAAGAGAGGCCGGGGCTCGCTCTGGGTCTTCCAGAGTCAGGAACCCGGACGTGATCTGGAGAAATCATTTAGATTATCTCAGTGGGGAGCTTGGAGGAAGGAAGGAATGAAGTGTCTAAGCAATGTGTGCCAGGCCTCCAAGACGCAGGGGGCGGGGTGGATGGGGGACATCAAACGACGCTGGCCCGGGAACGAGCAGAGCTCCCAGGCGGCGGGCAGGTGGGGGAGGGGAGCGCGGGGAGGGGTCCCGAGACCCGGGCGGGCGGGCAGGAGGCAGTGGCGGCGGGCCGATCCCCAGGGAGGCCGCCGCTAGCGCCCTGGCGCTCCCGGCCCGGCGCCCGCCACGTGGCACCCGGCGGCGGTGGCGGCGGCTCCTCCCGGCGCGCGGCTCGGCCAGCCGGCAGCACGCAGCCGCCCGCCCGCCTCCTCCCGGCCGCCCGCCGGCGGCCTCCCAGGCGCAGCGAGGGGGAGCGGGCCGGGGAGGGGCGCGAAGCCGCGCTAACCGCAGCCGCCGCGCGGAGGCAGAGGCCGCCCCGGCCGCTTCCTAAGTGCGGTCAGGCGCCCCGTGACCGCGGCGGGCGCCGGGCGGGGCATCGGGGGAGGGGGTCAGGCGGCTGGGGCCGGGGAACGCGCAGGGTCGCCGCCCTCGGGCCATCGCGGGGGGGGGGGAGGCCGCAGCGGAATCCGGGTGGCCCGGTCCCCACCCCCACCCCGGGGCGCCGCTCCCCTCCCGGAAGCGCTGACCTTGGCCCGGGTCGCGGGGGCCTGGGGAGCGCAGGGCTCGGCTCGCAGCCCGCGCCGCCCCCGCGGATTCCGGGCCGGCGGGGCCGGACCGCACTCGCGCCCCCCACGCAGCGCGCGCCAAGGCAGCCGGGCCGGCGCAGGGGGCGGGGTTTTCCCAGGCTCTGCACAGCAGCTGCTATTTACCTTCTTGGCTTCTCCCGGGCCCCCACCCCGCCCCCGCCCCCGCCCCCGGCCGCCCGCCCGCCGCCGGCTCCCGCCCCCTGCCCCCGGGGCGCGCGCGCACACACTCACACACGCACGCACGCACACATCCTGCCGGCCGGCCGCAGCCGCGGCGGCAATAAAACATCCTGGCACGTGCTCGGCCCCGGGCGCGCCCTCGCCGGCCGGCTGATGTCAAACTGCAGCTCGACCGCCGCGGCTCTTAAAGCGCCCGCGCGCGTCGGGCGCCCAGGGCGCAGAGGTCCCCAGACCGCCCGCGGGTTGGGGCGGGCAGGGTGGGGGATGGGTGGGGACGCTGCCGCCCCGCCCGCCACCTCCAGGCACCATAGCAAGCAGAACCCGCGGGTGGAAAGGAAAAGGGAGGCACCTCTTTTTTTATTTTTCATGTGAAATTTCCTTTCTTTTCTACCGACTGGAAATGATTGTTTACTCCGAAAGCGCGGGGGTCCGCGGGCCAGGTTGCAGGAGGAATGAAGGGCTGGGGCGGGGCGGGCTGGCATTCACAAAGCACCTTGCTCCCTCCCAGGCGGAAAAGTGGAAGGCATTTCTTTTGCTGTAAAAAAAAGGAATTTATAAAATATTTTCCTGCACGATCCACTTTCATACGCCCCCCACCCCCGAAATAGAATCCGAGCGAAAAAGCACATCTGTGTCGACAGCACACCCTGGCAAGAGTGTACCCCTGTAGGTCCTAATCACTGCAGACAGTCCTTTTCTTCCTATTACCTTAAAAATGTATCTCAAATGATTACAGAGTAGCTGTACAGCGCCTAGCAAAGAGAATAAAGACCTCGGCCTCCTAAGAAATAGACCAGGCCAAAATCCAAAGCGGAGAAATCCTCTGTAAAGCAAAGCCCAGAAGGGAGAGTAGCAAAGGGTTAAAATCCTTTTGATTGACGTGGTAGCCTCCGGTGCCCCGGGCTCAGGCGCGCGCCATTGGCCACCAGACCTTGTGCCTGGCGGCCAATGGGGGGGCGCGGTCCACGAGCGGTGCCGCGTGTCTCCTCCTCCCATTGGCTGAAAGTTACTGTGGGAAAGAAAGTTTGGGAAGTTTCACACGAGCCGTTCGCGTGCAGTCCCAGATATATATAGAGGCCGCCAGGGCCTGGGGATCACACAGGATCCAGAGCCGGTGCTGATAACAGCGGAATCCCCCGTCTACCTCTCTCCTTGGTCCTGGAATAGCGCTACCAAGTAGCCATTAAATATTATATAATCCACTCTGAGCACTTGCAGTTGTTTTACGAAAATCTCGAGGAAAAGGGACATAAGCAAAAAAAAAAAAAAAAATTGCGTGGACTCCAAAAATAAAATTCTCTAGGGACTGTTTTTTTTTTTAAAAAAAGGAAGGAAAATGCCAGCTGATATAATGGAGAAAAACTCCTCGTCCCCGGTGGCTGCAACCCCTGCCAGTGTCAACACGACACCGGATAAACCAAAGACAGCGTCAGAACACAGAAAGGTAAGGGCAGTACCTGAGAATCTGCAGATCCCCAAGAAATTACGATAGGATTGGGAGATCCTTTTAAGAGCCGCGGGTGAAATGGCAGCTCCCATGGGAACTCGGGCTTTTTAAAATTAATTTTTAAAATTTCTTTGCAGTCATCAAAGCCTATCATGGAGAAAAGACGAAGAGCAAGGATAAATGAAAGCCTCAGCCAGCTGAAAACACTGATTTTGGATGCCCTTAAAAAAGACGTAAGTGGGGAATGCGTTTTTGAAAAAATTAGAAATATGAGATTATGTTTCCTAGCCGCAAAGCATAAAAGCCCCCTTGCCTGTGGTGCGAGGGTCTCCCCCCGCTGCACCGTACTGCCCTAGGCGGGAAGCCGGGATCCCTGTTGCTGGGTCCCTGGACGCGGGCTTGTGCGCTGCGCCCGGGGTGGGGGGGTCGGGACTCTCCAAGGCAGCTGGCTGGCAGGGGCTGATTTTCCTTCTGGCTTCCTCCTGCGTACAGAGCTCCCGGCATTCCAAGCTGGAGAAGGCAGACATTCTAGAGATGACAGTGAAGCACCTCCGGAACCTGCAGCGGGCGCAGATGACGGGTGAGGCCTCTCGCCGCCGCGTCTTTTGCGCGCGCGTCCCCCGTGCCGCGCGCTGATTCCTTCCAGACTTCCGCCCGCGGTTGTGAGAGGCATTCAGCTCCATTTTACTGCCTTGGCTCCCTCTCGCGTTCCCACGGTCTGGGTCTTATTTATAGCCACAACTCCAAGTTGTTACTGTTCCGGAAAGGGAGGGAGAGAGAAGGTTGAAGCCGCGAAGGCGGCGGGCTGCTTGGCTGCGAAGGAAGGGATTGAGCACCGCCCGGTGGCAGTTGGGAGCTGAACTGAGCTCCAGGGTCATCGGGTTTGGCCCTCGCCCATCCCCCCACTGCAAACGGGAAATGAGACCCGAGTGGGGACGGGGCGGTGTTGCTCAATGTCACGTCGCCCGGGGGGAGTGGAGGGGACAGCTGTGGGGCAGAGATCGGCTTAAATGCAGCCACGGGACGAGGAAGGGTGGCTGAGCTTCGGTGACCACGCCAGTGTGGCGAGATGGCTCCAAGCCTCCCCCACCCTCCTGGCCCGAGGTCGTTTCGCGGGCGCGCGGTCAGGGAGGTGCGGCACGGGGACCTCCCAGGGCGGGAGACGGTGGCCCGGAGGCTGGAGCCGTTGGGTGACCCGTCTGTCTCGTTCTGATCTGCAGCCGCGCTGAGCACCGACCCAAGCGTGCTGGGCAAGTACCGCGCCGGCTTCAGCGAGTGCATGAACGAGGTGACCCGCTTCCTGTCCACGTGCGAGGGCGTTAACACGGAGGTGCGCACCCGGCTGCTCGGCCACCTGGCCAACTGCATGACCCAGATCAACGCCATGACCTACCCCGGGCAACCGCACCCCGCCCTGCAGGCGCCGCCGCCGCCCCCACCCGGAGCCGGAGGCCCCCAGCACGCACCCTTCGCACCACCGCCGCTTGTGCCCATCCCCGGGGGCGCGGCGCCCCCTCCCGGCGGCGCTCCTTGCAAGCTGGGCAGCCAGGCTGGAGAGGCGGCCAAAGTATTCGGCGGCTTCCAGGTGGTGCCGGCTCCCGACGGCCAGTTCGCCTTCCTCATCCCCAATGGGGCGTTTGCGCACAGCGGGCCGGTCATCCCGGTCTACACCAGCAGCAGCGGGACCTCGGTGGGCCCCAACGCCGTATCTCCTTCCAGCGGCCCCGCACTCACTGCGGACTCCATGTGGAGGCCGTGGCGGAACTGAGGGGCCCTGGCCTGCGCTCCGCATGCCCCTACCCAGCCCTTCCTCCGGACACTAAACTACAAAATGAATACTAGGAGAGATGATTTGTGATTAAGTGGTTACTTTGTTGGTTTTTTAATTCCTAAAAATAAGTTACTTTTTTTGTAGAGAGCTGTATTAAGTGACTGACCATGCACTATATTTGTATATATTTTATATGTTCATATTGGATTGCGCCTTTGTATTATAAAATGGAGATGACATTTCGTTTTTTACACGAGATTTCTTTATGTGATGCCAAAGATGTTTGAGAAATGCTCTTAAAATACCTTCCTTTGGGGAAGTTTATTTGAGAAAATATAATAAAAGAGTGAAGGCTTTTATGTCTTAGAACTAATTCTTTCATAATATATAAAAAGAGGTTCTTGGAGGAGTTTGAAGCATGTTAAGCCAGGAATTCAGAAATTAGCTCTTGTTGGTAAAACAAGTTGTGGGGTTTTTGTCATTCAGATTTTTCACCAACACTCCCTGAAGTCTGTTCCATTGACCTGTGTGACCGCATCTGGCAGGGCCTCCCTGGAACCTCGGTGATTCCTTTCCGGAATTTCAGAACAGTGGTACAGTCATCAGCCCTTGTTCTGTCAGTTCCTCCTGAGGACTGAACTGAAGTTAGGGGTCCAGTGTTCCAGCCCTTTGCACACCAAGGGTATCTGCTGCCCAGTAGCCACTCAGCAACTGCACAGTAAAGCCGCTCCTATTAGTGGCTGCAGTCGGGGCGGGGCGGGGGGGGGGGGGGACACACAATCCCAACCTTAGCTGCAGTGAGGAGTTACCTAGCAGCAGTGTGCAAAAGTTGGAAATGCCCCCCCCCCCCGCACCCTCTTCAGGCTGGAAAGGTCAACAGATTCCTTCTGCCAGGGGACAGCTAGTCAGACTCCCAAGTGGAGCCCAAGCCCAGACATGTGTTTCTGATAAGTTGCTGTGCTTGGCTCTAATGGAGAAAGCATGCGGGCGCCGCGCTGTCAGGCGCACAGCCCGTCTTCCCCTTTTAATACAAACAGCCAGCGACCCCTGCGCTTGGTCATGCCCCATTTCCAGGCAAGATGTGGGCTCCAGATAGAAGCAAAGGCCCCGTCTCGGGTTTCAGCTCACATAACCCTCCTTAACAAGTCCTAACTCAAAGCGGACAGCTTTAAACTGTGCCAGGATCTGCAGGGAATTTCTTCCAAATCCCATCACAAAGGCTTGTCAGATTCTGTCAGATTTGGCCAGGTGTTTGACTGCATCCAGGTGTTGGGGAAATGAAAACCACGAGCCCTGCGAGACCAGACACATAGCCGCGCTGTGGGTCTGGCCGGCGCGCCCTGCTCCCCCACCGCAGCCCAGCAGGGCCCCTCCTCCCGCCCGCCGGCGGCCTCTCTCACCCCCCTCCCCGCCTCTGCGCGGCTTCTGGGAGGAGAAGGATGAGGCGGGAGAGATCAATCTTTGAAGCTTTCCTAACAAAGATAAAGCCAACGATTTTCTGTCTTGTTTCAAAAGCTTTACCTCTCCCCCGCCTGGCTCGGGCCTTTCCCACAGGCCAGAGAGGAGGGAGGCTCTATCACCGGGCTGATCTAGCGGACAGCAGTTGGTTTTCTCTCCAATCCTTTCAGCCCCAGAGGGAGAGGTAGAAAAAATGCTTTTCCTGAATTTCCCTCCTCCTACCCTTATTTTGTGGACATGAAAGGTGACCAGCACACCCTTCACCAGACACACACGCATCATTTCTCTCGAATCATTTTTCCACATTCTCCCTCTTGTTCAAATGCAAGCATAACAATTGCTGCTCATTAGGACACCCATCCCAAATCCACGTGATTCACCGGGTAAGTCTGGACTCTGGCCTCCAGGGACTTCCCCGTCCTGTTAGAAATAACTCATTCATCAGGGTCTGCATTTTTGTGGAAGCCTTTGCCTTCTATGGACCGGCAGTGAAAGTCACAGGGGGCAAAACACGGTCACGGTATCACCTGAAAACTAGATTTCCATGTCTTCGCTACACTGAAAATGCACACGCTTATTGATAACACCAAAGATACACAGATACAGCGTCTTCCAGGGGAGAGGGGTCCATGGAGGGAAGATAAGTCAGTGTTGGTTCTTTGGTAAAGAATTGGTGGTTTAAATAGAACACGTTTTGAAATGTATATTTGCACTATTTCAAAAGGCATTTGTTTTTGTACAGTATGAGAGAGGAGACCTTGGGTTCCCCGGGGACATTCAGTGGGATCTAGTCGAGGCCACAGGACTTACTGTGCCACCATGGATGGTCATTCCTTCCTTAGGCCACTGCCAAGCCTGGAGGGTAAGTGGTTTCTGTGGAAGACAGAACCCTCCTAAACCCTGTCTGGAGTAACCTTGGAGGACAAACTACTTCACCCTTGCCCTCCTGAAGTCCCCTGCGTCAGGCCTAATCATGTGGCCAGGGGCGCACCTCGAGCTCTCAATCCTGGCCGTGCCGTGCTGATCCCTGGAGAGCTGAGACCGGACGCTCAGCCCCAGCCTCTCCCGCAGGACGCTGGAGAACCCCTCCCCTCCCCCCAGTCTCGGGCGCATCCGGCCGAACAGGGAAGGGGCTGGGGTCTCCTCGCCCAGGACCCGAGCCTTCGCCAAGCAGTGCGTAGCATGTCCCGCCTCACCCCACGCGTTCCTGCGGCGGGGACCCTGGGGTTAAGCGGACCCCCTCGTCGTCCCCGCTGTCCCAGGGAACCTGTCATTAAAGTCAATTAACTTTTCCCACACCCGTCGGCCGGTAACCACCCGCTGCTAGCTTCCTCCCGGCGCCTAAGTGCAACCAGATGGGCGCACGCGCTGCCCCCGCCGCGCGCCCCCGGTGGCTCGGGGTCCCCGGGGGCCTGGGGCGCGCGGCCCGGGCGGGAGCGCACAGGGCGGCCACCCGCCCGGCCCAGCCCCGCGGCCCCGGCCAAGGTGGCTCGCCCAGCAGGCCCGGCTGCTTTCTGGCAGGAAATGAATAGCTCCCAGATGAGCTCAGGCAACCTGAGAGGTCGTGAGAACGGCGCGCACCCCGCCCGTGCCGCCGGCAGCCGGCCAGGCCGCGGGGGGAGGCGCGGCGGGGGACCCGGGGGACCGCGGCCACACGAGCTTGCCGCGCCCGCTGGCAGGCAAGCCGCCGCCGCCTCCCAAGCAGCAGGCCCGGGGGTGGGGCGCCCGCCAGTGTTTTTCCAGCTCCCCCGGTAGCTCGGGGCCGCGTTCAGAGGCCAGGAAACTGGACCCGGGCCAGGGTCAGGGTAACAGAGGCCCTGCTAGGCGTTTGTTAAGCCAAGCCGAGGCAGGAGTGGGCAGGCAGGGGTGAGGCCATCTCATCGCCCCCTCACCCCCTCCAAAAAAATACCTTGCCATCAGACAGACAGCGACTCTGCACGCCTTGGAAAAAGGAATCTCTTGTAGAAGCCCTGAGATTTGCAGGGTGTGGCAGCACTGGCCTGCAATCTCAGCACTAGGGAAGCTGAGGCAGGAGGGTCACTGCAAGATCTCAGCCAGCCTGGGCTTCATAGTGAGTTCACAGCCAGCCTGGACTACAAAGGGAGGCCCTGACTCGAAAGAAACAACAATAAAATTAATAAAACCCAAGCACCTACTAAGAGGCCAGCAGTATACAGCAGGTACCGAAACACTGATGCCCATGGCCACAACAGCCTCCCCCGGCCTCCCCCTGGCTGTGTGCAGCCAAGGAGAGTCAAGTGCCAGTGACTCATCACAGGCTTCAGGTGCCAAGTGCCAGAACCGAAGCTTATACAAAGGGCACTCAGAGCAAGAGATGAATTCTGATGAGGGAGGGAACTGGGGACGGATTTCAGAGCCTTGGCACTGGGAGGAGAGGTGAAAGATAAACTCTGCAGAAGGGGTTAGGAATGGGAGGGTGAGGTATGGCTTGGGAAAATGGCAGGAAGGGAGCCCCATGTCATGTACGCTTCTAAGCACTGTACAAATTGGTATGAAGGTTAAAAAAAAATGGGGTAGTTACCTCCCAGGGTCCTTAGTTTATGGCATTATAGCTCAGAGATTATAAGCATTAGGATATGGCTCCAGATTGCTTCCATTTTTGTCCCCACAGCAAATTATTTAACTTCCCTCTGCCACTCTATGCCATCTGATTTTCAAGAGATGAGTCTCAATAGGTCACCTGAGCTGATCTCAAATTCCAGGACTATAGAGATCCTCTTGCTTCAGCCTTAGAATAGCTGGGACTACAGGCAAGTGCCACAGTACTTCACTCTGCGACTTTGTAACTAACTCTGTATGCTGTGACTTTGTAACTCTGTATGTTGTGACTTTGTAACTCTGTGTGCTGTGACTTTGTAACTGCCTCACCTGTAACCTAGGGCTCTCAGTAAGCCTTGCAGCCTTGCAGGAGGCATCTAGGATGGCGCTTGGCATGTTGCTCTGGGTGTATGTCAGCAGCTATGAAACCTAAACAACCACAGTGAAGATGTCCACCAGACCAGAAAGCCAGGGTGACCTCAGCCCAGAGACCTCAGGGGCCACTTGCAAATGCACCAAGCCTCACTCAAGAGGACCACAACATTTTCGTTGGTCTCTGAATTTCACTTGATGTAATAATTCACTTGATGTAATTATTAAACCAAGCAGCATGAAAAGAAAGACATGATTTTTGTATTATAAAACTCACAGGTGGTGGCTCACATCTGTAACCTCACCACTCAGTAGGCTGAGTCAGGAGGACTTCCTCTAATTGGAGGCTCAGGCTGTGCTACATAGTCAGTTTAAGGACAGCCTGAACTATATAAAGAGACCCTGTCTCAAAACAAGCAAACAATGCCTGGCGTGGTGGCTCATGCCTATAATCACAGCGCTCGGGAGGCTGGGGCAGGAGGATTATTGGGAGTTTGAGACCAGCTTGGGCTACAAAATAAGCTCAAGGCCAGCCTGAACTGCATATCGAGACCCTGTCTCAAAATGACAAAAACAAACAAACAAACAAACAAAAAAACCAAGCAAACAAAGTTTATAGCCAGAAGAAAAAAAAATGGAAGAAAGAAAGATCTGTTGAATGCTATAAAAGAGGAGTAATCATTCAGTGTTTGTACAAAAAAAAAAAGGTTGTATATTATAACAGGTAACTTTTTGGTCCCCTAAATTAATGGTTCTGTTGTCAGTGCTGGGGATTGAACCCAAGTCCTTAGCAATGACTCCCGCTTTATTTTGAGACAGAGTCTCTCTCACCAAACCATTAATTGCCCAAGATGCTTTGAACCCCCAGCAACCCTCCTGTCTCAGTCTCCCTGTGTGCTGGAATTACAATCAGGTGCCAGCATACCCTGCCGACTGTCTAAATTATGATTTAATTCGGGACCATAGAAATTGCTGAGACTCTATTGCTAGTCAAATTCCAACTAAAAAAAAGTTACTGTCAAATGTTTAACTTCAAGGTCAATCATTTTGGGGCTGGGAGTGCAGCTTAGTGGCCAAGCACCTGCCCAGCACACGCAAGGCCCTGAGTTCCATCCCCAGTGCCGTAAAAAATAAAAACTCGAAAGAACAAAGCCATCTGGACATGGTCAAGGAACGAGACTGAGAGTTCAGAATGTGGCTTCTAGTTCCAAATCCACTGAGCAAGTGTCTTAAGCATCTGGGCTTTGGTTCTTCACCAGCCCGGTGAGAAGCTGGGTGGGGGAGTCTCAGCAGTCCGTTTCCCTCAGGGTCTTGGCCAGGTGGCCTGACCATGCCTGTAATGCCAGCCAGCACTTGGGAAGCTGAGGCAGAACAATCTCCACAAGTTTGAGGCCAGCCTGGGCTAACCAGTGACACACTGTCTCCAAAAATAAAACAAAACAAAACATCACCACGTTCCCTTTCTGTCCTAAAACATCTCTTTCCATCTGAGCACTTCTTTGCTGAAAACAGAGTGTGTGACCTGCTGGTGATTGGGACTCTCCTCACCTAAGAAAACGTTTTCTCGCTTGGCCAGCAGGTGCTGAATTAAGGAAGCTGTCCAAAACTGGTTTGGCTACACAAGACTGTCTACATTTGCAGGAAAATCTCCATTTTTAAATGTCTTTTAGGAAACACAGTAATTTTTACAAAGACCTGGATTGAGTCTAAATTCATAGTTTTTGGGTTGTTTGTTTGTTTGTTTTGTGGTCTTTTTGAGACAGGGTCTCACTATGCAGTTTAGTCTGGCTTTGAGCTCACTTTGTAGCCCAGGGTGGTTTCAAATTTGCAGTGATCCTCCTGCCTCAGCCTTCCGAGTGCTGGGATTACAGGCCTACATCCCCATACTCAGCTCAGTCTCTGCGATCCTTTGTAGCCCCTCTGTGATGTTGCTTCTGCTTTCTCCCCAAAGGTACCTCATTGGTGGCCATCACTGTGTCTCTCCTCTCTGGCCAGGAAAATCCACACACAATCCTCCTGCTCACATTCTGCCCCACTCCCACCCCTGGTCAGATCGGTGGGGTTTGAGCCCCCTCAAACACAGTGCTTCCAACTCCCTCCTCCTTCCTATTGTGGCTTCTCTCTCCACTCAGTTCTCCCAGCCCCTCAAAACCTCCCGGCTTTCCCCTCCTCCCATCCCCCACTTCTTGTTGCTCAGCCACTGTGGCAGGATAGGCTGTGACCCCCCGAAACTACCCCTTCCCAGCATCTTCCTGGGCACCCAGACTGACCCTGGGCCCTCAGTCACGTCTGCAGCAGGTGCATCTGTCTTGAGCCCCCAGAAGGGACAAACATGACCCTCCCCCCGCCAGCCGTCACGTCCTGGCCTCACTCCAGCTGCCAGCACTGCTGGCTTCCGTCTTTCACATGTGCTGTCCCTGGGCAGGAAGTGCCCCTCCTTTGTCCTCTACCCAGACACCTCAGGTGGCCCCTGTCCTTGGCTCGGTCGCCGGCTTCAGGAAGTCCATCTTGATGGTTCCCAGCCCCTCTCTGAACCACTTGACCCTCCTGCCCTTTCCCAGGTCATCTAAGGCAGCACTGCTGGACCATGGCATCTGCTTGTCTGGGCCATACCCCAGACTATTCAAAATTTAGGGAGGCAGAAACGAGGTCTTTTTCCTGTAGCCCCAGCGTCTCCCACCATGGCTGGCAATGCGCCACCCCTCTGGAAGCTGATGTTGCTCATACAGGAAGGAGGTGGCATAATTCAGATGAAACCAAACCTCTTACACGTATGATGGCTAAAGAAGCCATGTGTGGTGGCCCACACCTATCATCCCAGCACTTGAGAGGCTGAGGCAGGAAGATCACTGCAAGCCTGAGGCCAGCCTGGGCTACTTGGTGAGTTCTATTGGGGACTGATGATGTTTCTGTTCCATTTTGTGCTTGATGCAAAGGAGCATGCAGGGCTTTGGATGCAGCTCAGTGGTACAGCACATGTGCTGGGTTTGTAGAGAGAGAGCCTCAGGGCCCCAGGCACTCACAGGTGAGGCTCTCAGAGTGGACTGGACCATCAGGCTGACACCAATGGATTCCTGCACCCATGAGTTTAGAGCCCAGCGGGATCTGGTCAGAAACAGTGGGTCACTGAGAGTGTGGCCTGGGAGGGTTAACCTCCTCTCCACCTCTCCCTCCACTCTCTCACCATGAGATCTTCCTCCTCGGCCGGCCAGATGCTCTACTGTGCTGCCCTGCCCTGGAGCCAGCCGACTGTGGACGGAAACCACTGCAAACCACAGCCAAAATGCGCCTCTCCTCCTCTGCAGCTGGAGATACCGGGTGTTGTCTCAGCTGTAAAAAAAAGGGATGTAGCAGGGGCAAAGCTCCGGGCTTCATCCCCAGCACCAAAAAGAAGAGACAGAGAGCAAAAGAAGGAAAGGACCGCGAGCTGGAAGAGGCCTAGTCTCAGCCGCTCAGGGAGCCAGGCAGGCAGGAAGGCGGAGGCAGAAATGAGGACAGGTGGCATCAGGTGTGGGGTGGTGGCACAGGACGGAGCAGTGCCCACATTGTGGAGATGGCAGAGCACAGCTGGTTGGACCAGAAGCCTGACCTCACAGGTGCGGTGGGAGAAGGTGGAAAGCGCTACCTCTGGCAGCCTGGGCAGCGAGTATGAGATGTGGTCAGAAATAACCATGAATGCATCTTTTATTACAGCAAAGACCCATTGCCAGGAGTCCTCCCCTCCCTTCCAACGCACTCATCCCGAGTTATCACCGCTTTCTGTAGCCCTTCTGGAGTCCTCTTTCCTGAGGGTCTTTAATGATGCTGTCACAGCTGCCTCGATGCCTCAAATTGATTCAAAGCATTTCCTTTTCGTGGTCATTTTGACTTTGTGGAAGACCCAGAAGTTGCACAGCGCCAGATCTGGTGAATAATGTGGACAAGAACACAGTGTAGCAGTTTTGATACAAAGTATCTGACCTGAGGGGAGTGATCAAAATATATGGTGACTGTCTGAATAAAAACTTTTTTATAGTGAAAGACTCATTGCCGCGAATCCCCTTCGGAATCCTCCCTCTCACTTCGAACACATCAATCCCATCATACTTGGCAATGTGTCTTCATAATGCTGGTCTTGTTGGAAAGGGAGACCAGGACAGAATGCCTGGCTATGTTAGGGAAAGAATATGGGTGATGCTTTTTCTTTTTCTCCATTTTCCAAAAACAGTTATGCTACTTTTACATCCATATATTTGTATTTTTTAAAAATCAGTCTTTGACCACCGCTTGGAGAAAACATTCCCCAGTGGTCCAGATGGTCAGTACAGCTCAGGGCGGCCATCTGTATGTCCTCTCGCATTCCTACTGTGACCCTGGTGTCTGTGCTGGGCTGCTTGCTGCTAGACCAGCACACGTGAGAATGAGTGACTCTTCCCCAAAAACCCTGAGCTCCACCGGGGCTGCCTGGTGCAGTGCGGCTGCCGGGAACACAGCGGTGGCCCCCAGGTCCTGCAGCGGAGTTGCTGCCTGCCCCGGGGCTTCTTCCTGTAGACGGCAGGGAAGGGAGGCTTCCCACCTTCTGGGCCCTGCCTGACCTCTGTCTCTCCTCTTCCTTGTGCATGATGGCTAATGATTCTATCTCTTGAGTTCAGCTCTCTGGTGGATTAGAGGGAAGGTAGATTTGCGTCACTCCTACAGTGAAGAGACAGTTTTTTTCTCCTCCCATTAATTCTGGGTTGGCCCTGTGACTGTTTTATCAAACGGAAGGCAGCATTAGTGACACTGTGTCATAGAAGACGGCCTAGTTTCACCTTGGCATGGTTGGAGAACTGAGAGCCATATCTAAGAATCAGCTCCACTAATGGGAAGACCACATAGAGCAGTGGACACATGGAGAAGAAATGGCCTCAGGACCATGCAGAGAGGGCTGGGCTTGGCTCAGTGGTAAAGCAGTGCTCAGCACAAGGACCTAAGCTCAAGCTCGGGACCAAAAAACCCACAAAACTCTACAGAGACCAGCCTCCCAGCTGTCACTGCCATGCTGCCAGACGTGTGAGGGAGTCATCATGGACACTATGGCTGGTGGCATCCAATGACAACAGTAGCCCAGCCAACATCACCTGAGCAGAAGAGTCACCCTGCTGGCTCCACCAGCCTCCAGAATGATGAGAGGCCTTGACAGAGCTGTCTCATGCTTATCCAAGGCTGGCTGCCAGCTGTCGCCAACACCACTGTCTTAATCATGTTCTTGTCACACTGGGACAGAGTTTTCAACAGCCACAGTTTGCAAGAGTAGAGAGGTTTGGTTTTGGCTCATGGTTTTAGTCCATGATGGTAGCCCTGAGGTAAGAGCCATGATGGAAACAGAACACTGCTCATATCACGGAGGACAGGAAGCAGACGGAGAGTAGGGCGGGACCACGGAGGGAGATGAACCCTTCCAGGCCACATCCCAGGTGACCTGCGTCCAAACAGGCCCACTTTCTAACAGCAGGTCAGCTATGAATGAATCAGGCATTGATCCACTGATGAGTGTAGCACCCCTATATTCAGGCACCCTCCCAAGCCCCGCTTCTGCACACATAAGGCTTTGGGGGACGCTCTAGACCTAAACCCTAACAACAGCCTCCTGGAGAGAGGAAGTGAGGCTGCTGCTCTCTCGATGAAGGGTGGCACCACCCAGCAAGCCGCTGGCAGTGCCTCCAAGGGAGAGAGGAAGGTCTGGATGACTTGGTGATTGCAGGCATGGTACAGGGCAGTGGTCACTTGGGCGGGACTGAGCCACAGTCACAATGGAACAATCCAAAACTGGTGGAAACTATACGGTGAGGATTTTGAAGTGAAGGATTCAAAGAAACTTAGGGTCCCAACTGTGTTGATGTTTTCCACTGAAAAATTAATTAGAAATTCCTTTAGTGAAGAGTCCAACCAGTTATCTGGGCGGGCAGGAGATGGGAAAATAGTCATACTAATGAAGCCGGGGAACCCGCGTGAGGTCCTCCACTAAGCCTGTGAGCCCAGGGTGTCGGCTGAGTGTGAAGCCAGCTGGCTTCCCTTCTCAGAGACGATGATGGGTCATGGAACAGTGTGTATGCAGCAATTAACCAATCGGACACTCCCCAAACTTTTGGCTCCTCTACGCTTCTGTGTTTCTCAATTCATTTGTGCACCAAATGTTAAATGCACACCTGTTATCTACCAGGCCCTGTGCTAGACACTGAGGTGCAAAGACGAGAGACCAGTCCCTGTCTTTCTCAGAAGTTAAACGTCTGGAAGGCATAGATCAAACACCATAAGAGAAAAAAACTGGCAAGGTGGTTCTATACCGATGAAACGTTCTGAAGAAAATGAAGTAGGGAAGTGAGCTGGAGCGGTGCTGGGAGGAGAGAGCTTTTCAGAAAATGGGCTTAGGTTGTCATGAGGGGATGTCGGCCAAGTTAGACAGCATCCAAGTGGTGGAAGATCCAGCTGAGTAGAGATCGGGAAGCAGCCCTAGAAGCAGGTGCCCTAGCGGACAGGGGCACAGTGAGCTAGAGAATCAGAAGTGCCAGGGAGCTGAAACTTGGTGACCGAAGGGACTGTGAGGCCAGGAAGCCGGCAGTGGTCAGATCACATAGGTCACAGCAAGGAACCTGGTCTGAAGGTCCAGTGCCAGGGGAATTCTTGGGTTAGCAGTGCCCAAGAGAAGTAAAACGTGAGCCCCCAAAGCAATTTTATTCTAATATGTAACAGCCACATTTTTGAAATAGCAAAAAAGAAATCCCAGTATTCAAGAGGCCGAGGCAGGAGGATCACCATAAGTTCAAGACCAGCCTGGACTACATAGCAAGACCCCACTGAAAAACACCAGGACAAAATTGGGCTTGGGTGGCATTTGCCTGTAATCCCAGAGCTCAGGAGACAGAAGCAGGAGGACCACTAAGATTTCAGCCTCAACTACACAGTGAGCTCGAGGCCAACCTGAACTACATTATGAGAGTCTGTCTCAAAAATTAACTAATTAATTAATTAAAAATAAATACAAATTGTCCATAGCTCCCCTGGTCCACTGAGTCTCAATGACCCCTTATCAAACAACCCAAACCTTCCTAAAGCCCCCTGTTCATGGCTCCTTTTACCTGAAACATTAAAGCCCTTGTACATTCCAGCTAAGTTCTCTTTGTCACCCTTACTCAGTGACTTGTGAACCAAAGACAGGAGGATGTGCATGCCAGGTGTGGTGGCACATGCCCAAAATCGCAACCCTCAGGAGGCCGAAGCAAGAAGCATGACCGGGAATTCGAAGCCAGCACGGTCTACATAGTGAGTTTAGGGCTGGCCTGAATCAATTGTAGTCAAACATTGGAAGGTTTCAGGATTTGTTTCTATTTATTATTTCTCTTAATAATAATAAAGTTCCTCACTTTAAAGTAATAATTTAAAAAATGTTTTGTATTTTGTCTTATTTGATTATGTTTACTTTGTAAAGTAAAACATTTGGGTAAACATTTCTGTGCCTTGGTTTCATAGTTCTCATCCCCCCAAAACTTTTACCACAGGTAACGCTCTGTGTGTGAGAGAGAGAATTTTAGACTAAGGTACACCTGCATTTCCAGCACCCTGTGGCATGGCTTGAAGTTACCCTGGAACATCACAGGTGCAGGCCGAGAATCTCTGCAACCTCCGGTCTCGGTTACCACCAAGAGCATCTTGAACCCTGGCTGACGGCCTAGCTTGACGTTTTCTCTCTCCCTCAGTTGGAACATTTAAACAACTGAATGTGAGATTTTTTTGTAGACTTCATTCCAAAAGAGCCATCAGCAGAAACTCACACCCCGTCTGTCCACCAGCCTGCATGCTTCTGAGCTTCCTTGACTATTTATGGACGTGAGATTTTCACTCCTGACTTAGATGGAGGTGGATCCAGTCATAAATCCTGACTGAAGGAAGCTTGCCCTTGAGTCTGTGAAAATGGTGGCTAACAGGTCCGGGCTCCCAAGCCCGGTTCGGTGGGAGTCCCTGCTCCCCTAGTCTTACCCACCAACTTGCTTTTAGTCTGGTTTGGAGCCTGCCTGCTTCAGTCTTTCAGCATTATTGGGACTAAATGAAGGTCAAACGGCAAAGGCTTTGTACTTGACTAACAGGCACAAAAAGAAAACCCAAAAAGCTCTTTTTTGTTTTTTTCTGTTCGTGGCACTGGGGATTGAACGTAGAGCCTTTGCACTGGGCTTCATTTTGGCCCTTTTTGTATTTTACTTTGGAATAGGCTCTTGATAAGTGACTGAACTGCCCCAGAGCCTGGCTCAAATTTAAGACTCTCCTGCCTCAGCCATCCAGTAGCTGGATTCACCGGCCCCATGTGCCGTCTTGTGCAGCCACAGAGCTCCCAGGCTGTTTGAAGTCCTGTCTGATCCCCCACATTTGCCACCCCACCTTGTACCGCGGGCTCCCTTGGCATCCACTGCATGGAAGAAACAAACACAGGAGACCTGGCTCCACGCTCCTGGGGATTCCGGTGTAAATAAAGAATCGGAAGAAAAGCAGGGTCTCCTAAGGCGATTCAACTGGATGGAGGCTTCCTTTTAAAGAGCCTGGGAAGGGAGGGACAGAGGAGAACAGAGGATGGCTTAGGAGAGACTCCAGGGCAGGGTGGCTGCCAGGGCAGAGCTGGCCAGGTCTAACTGGTTTCCCCGCGGCTGAGTCAGCGCCTGTGAGGCTTCATCCAGGAAAAGCTGTCTGCTAAATCGCTCCGGGGCCAGGCAGGGCCAGCAGAACCTGATTTGGACCCAGATAGACCCTGCACTGCCTCAAATCACTATGACCTTGGCGCTGTACCCGCCCTTATTTTAAAAAATAAAAATAAATGGGAACAGGATCCCTGGAGTTTCCCCCAGGTGAGACCAGAGTCTTCCACAAACGCCACCCGCTCTGCGAGCCCTATCCCC